CCAGGACATACGCACAGGCTTACAGTCATCGTGCCTTGGTTTAATGTTCTCATCTGGCACTCGCAGCCACCCGTTAACGACCCCGAGAACGCTGCCGGGAAAAAGGATAGCACCACCTGCAAAATCACAATGAACAACGGTTTCGGGCACCGAATTTTTGCTGAGTGGCTGAAAAACATATTATGCACTACAGCTGTAGTTGGCTTGTGACCGCGGAAGGCGGCCGCGTCAGTTGGACCAGTGCGGATGTTAGAGGGCACTGAGCGGAGACCGGAACGGTCAACATGTAAGACATCAGCAACAACAGCATCAGCAACGACAACAGAGTATCAGCCTTCTCTTGGAGAACGCACATGGTTCTGCACCGTGCAGACGAAAACAGCGGGAAGAGAGAAACACGCCGGAAAGAAGGCGCATGGGCGAAAAAAAAGATAGCCCATGGATAGAAGAACGAGTGTGTAGCTGGGACTAGAACTCTTCATCATATTCTCGGCGATCCATCAAAGCCAACCAACACTCCACTCGGACTTTTATTGTTGCCACGTTTTCACGGTACCAAATGAAGAATATTAACCCAACCGTTGAATTTTGTTGAATACCGCTTTTTCACGTTTTCACTCTGTGTCTGTCTCGCCCACCCGCGGAAACCTCCCCAACCGGTGGACGCCTCAAATGATCTGGCGCGGTCCATGTGGGTCAGACCTTTTGCCTCTCGGCGGGCGTGTCCCAGTCAAGCGGACATTGCTCCGTTTTCTTCTGGTCACATTTCTCCGCTCAGTCAGCAGTGACGACATGGAGGGGCCGTTTTTTTTTCTACGCAATTTCGACCTGTTGTATTCTCCGCACTGTAATTAATCCGCACATACAATCACGCCTCGGACCTTTCACGGCTCAGATGCTATACGACGAGCAGGCATCGGGCGCGCTTCTGCCGGCAAGGCTCGTTCTTCTCCAAGATGAGACATCCAAGCGTCCGTTGTTATACAACTACCTCGTCACCCCCCTTCACTAAATATGTGGTGATGATTTCCGGTATCTGCGTTGCACGCAACTTGGTTGGGCGATAGCGTGTGTATCCGCGGCGTTACCGACGCAGATATACGTGAATCGAGAGTGCGAGGAACCCATCAGGGATGTGTGTATGCATTTATGTCACACACGGCTTCGTTGATCATGCCGTCAAAACATGCATATTTATTTGCATCGACCGCGCGAAACGGCCGACCAAAGAAAACACGTCAGTCTCAGCGCGCTTCAAAAAAAAAATGCTTCTATTGTTAGTTGTATTCAGACAGAGACCATGCACCGACGTGTATGTGCCCCTCCAACACCACACCGACCCGAAAATACATCATGTGAGGAGAAATCAAATATTCTATGCACATGCATCATCATCATCTCTCGCATCATCTCATCCAGCAACTACCACATACAGCATACACCTATGTATTTGTATTTCTTACGGTAGAAACTAATGTGGCGTATCAGGAGAGCGAAAAACCACAACAGTCGTCCCACAGCATATATATATATCCCGATGGGGCGGCGGAGGAGGATATATTCCCCCCTGGATGAAACGCTTCCTAAGCCATAAGTATTGATTTATCGTTCCGAAACTACACCTGCCGCTATATACATTTTTTGCCCCGGTTCTAAAGCCTAGGATATATATATACATATAAGCCCTACCCAGCCTAGGATATATATATATATATATAAGCCCTACCCAACCCAACCCAAATCGCTCGGTTGCTGTCATGCATCGTTAGTAGTGCTAGGTTGATGTGCACGGGCTGCCCAACGAATGCTCCGAGAAATGGCATTCCGACATGCAGACCACCAAGTCGGAAGAAGCACTACTGCTGTACTTGAGGTGTAGTTTCCATACTATTGTGCGCACGACACCGGGCGCAAACCCCCCTCACTTTTCGTCGGGATCGAAAGGGAGACGCACAACAGCAGTAGAATGCTTTGTCTCGTTGCATGCGAACTTGGATGCTTGGTTGTCGCGTGTGTGCATGTCGCCAGCTCACAAAAAAGGGCCACGTCAGCCTCTCTTAGCAATGTATTAATGTGGCCTGGACTGTCAACAACCGGGCTCTCATTGGGCGAGGCCTCGTAGATCTCGGAGACGCGACTTTCTGCCCTCCCTAGCGCTGCCCGACGTCCCCTACAAGAGCGCGCGGCACAGCGGGAGGGCCCTCGCAACTCAGTGCCATCGGTAGCTGCAAATCTCGCCGCAAGGCAAATCTCGCCGCGAGGCAAGGTCCAAGGGCCAAGAAAACGCAAAAAAACAGCTGTAGACACACGAGAGCATCAGGATCGCAAATGCTGCAAGGTTGTGCACCCTCAGCCCGCAGGAAGTTCGTCGAAATGACCCATGCTCTTTATCCGCACTACGGAAATCCCATCCTATTGGACGTGGTGGCTATTAGTCGATCAGCAGTCCATGACGTTTAACGACGTTACGAATTCGTACCGACAGAACACGAGTTAGCTCGAAGATAATTCGTTTCCAAAATCTGTTGGTATATGGTAAGCCTTGACGCGAAGCACGACTGACTCGTCGTCGATTTTCGAAATTTCCCTTGCAATATCTTCGTAGGCCAGATTTCGATAGCTACGACTAACCGTTTGGCGACTTGCTAAGACCACCACACGTTGAAAAATCAGCAGTAAGGAGGGTAGACCTAGACGGGCTGAAAGTTCTCTCATAGTTGTCTGCCATAATTGCAGCTCGAAGCGAGGGAAGATCCTGGCGTTTGAATCGAATGCTTATCGGGTTGACGATTGTGACATTGACGGACTTCGTGCAGAGATCGCCCTCATTATCTTCTGGCGCAATCCCGGGGGGATCTCTAAATCCATCCCATAGAGGTATTTCCCCTACCAGCGCCGGTGGAAAATGGGGCAGAATCCTCAACGGCGATGGGCATGTGACGCTCGCGTGGTGTCTTGGGGATGGACGCAATCCCATACTTCGAACGTTGTACGTTTTCATTCGAATCAATCAAGGGCGTTGTCATCCGCAACCGAACCACTCGATTTGCTTTACTAAACCCCTTTCGGTCTAGCTCATTTTTTCTTCGGCAAATAAAAAAGGAGGAAAGAGTGCGGGGAGAGAGACAGAAGTACAGCAGAAAGAGAGCGTACTTCTGTAGACGCAACAGCTATCTCCACCCATAGGCCATGCGGGCTGCACGCGACAGGACGGTGGGCGCAGACAGGGTTGATGCGTGGTCGCGGTGCGGCCGCTAGGGCAGGTTAGGCTTGTAGGCCTCAACAAGATCAGTCGTCAAGCCACCCAAAGTACTCTATTTTCAGTATACTCAACTGATCAGTGAAAACGATCAGTACAAATGATCAGTGAGAGGGCTTGTAGACCCATAGCTGGTTCTTACTTCTGTACTTCTCTGTCTCCCCGATGTGAGCCCTGCCGGCTCACTACAGCTCCTGTGATTTTCCCACAATTCCCACAAGCACGCAAGCACACCAGCACACACCTACCTTTGCATCAGTGGCTCTCTAGGTTCGGGCGAGGGTATGTGTGGGGCTATGAGTGTATGTGTTACTACAGTACTGCTGTATGTTGGACTCGTCTACATAGATATTGCTGCTGCTGTGTAGTATAGCTGCTGACATGATGACTGCTGGATCTTGGGAGTGTACGATTTTCAAATTTGGAGGATATGCAGCATACCACGATATCCTGGCCTGGTTGGGCTTGAAGTGCTCCTTTTTGCTGTCCTCCTGTCTTTGCGTTGCTTGCTAGATTCGGGCGAAGGCATGTATGTATGTATGTGGAGTTATTGATGTGTGTCTCTGTGAAAGGATATGGGGAGAGATTCATGGTGGCATTCTCATTTAGAGCAGTATGCATTTTTCGAATTTTGGCCGTTCCAGGGACCTCGATATACCCGCTGGCACTAACGTCTTTTCATTCGTCACCGGGTTCGCGGTCGATGCGAATAACAAAGACACACCTACCTATTGGCTTGCCAACACCTGGCGTGGAGGGATACAGGACGGCAACTCCATGGCATGTCACAACACCAGCATGAACAAATGATTAATCAATGATCTGTCAGGACGCCTGTAGACCCAAAAGGGTGAAAGCGCATATTTACCTCCCAATGATAGAGTGCAGGTAACCTCATCGTGTATCTTGAAATCGGTCTATTGGGCCGGGCGGCAAAGCCGCCGAACACCGCATACATACGCGTTCCACGTGGTGCCCAAGTTGTACACTGATCATGCTGTGACTGCGGGAGCACTGGTAGTTTCACCTTGGTGTTCGCTCCTATAGGGCTCACGGGCTTGAACTTGGAGTCCGGCAGCTCGAATGATGGGGCCAAATCACCCTCACGCACCCAGCCGTCACCACCTGGTGCGTCCATGTTCCCGGTTCCCGGTCAACCACGTGACCACGTGTACCTTTAGGTTCTCAGCGGATCAACCGCAACAGCAGCGGTAAGAGGCTACGAGCTGCCAAAGGAAGCCGCTGCGTATTACACGCCGCGTTTCACTTCTAACGTGGTCGACTTCAGACAAGTCTATCTACAAGAAGCTCGCAGCCTTTGTATTCGCCGAAGGGTCTCCCGTCGCAATCTCGAGTAGGTCATAAATTTGTTAACGGGGCAGCTCCGCGCATCTCGACGGCAGAGAAGAGCTGCAGGGGACTACACACTTACACACGCGTTTGCTGTATTCCCCGTAGATGCGTAGGCGGCGGAACTGGAACTGCGGTAGAGCAGCCATCGGAGATTACGGAGATTTCGGAGATGTTACCGCACGCCTCACCTTGCTCTTGCTGGCAACCTATGCCAGCTTGCAACCGGTGTGCCAGCTGCCGATAGGCTATGCGCCAAAGGTATCGGGCAGGAGGAGATACGGCTCCCGCCTCCTTATAGTTGAAGCAGAAGGAAGAAACAACTGGTGCAAACAGGAGTTTCCTGTTCCCATCTCGGTGCTTTTTCGCTCAAACACAGCAGGGAGGCGACATGCGAAGTTGGAGAATACCGCTGGCGGTAGCCCTATTGAGCGGTGCATCCGCGCTATTCCTCTACGCGTGCACCACTTTCCGGAGAGGGGAAGACGGGGACATGCACGGCAGCCTAACCATAGGCTTCGAAGATGGGTCGTGGAGAACGGCCAAAGGTGGGAGAGGCCGGGATGAAGAGGTTTCGTACTCGGTCATCGTGGTGGCTTCAAATCCCCGCCCGTCCAACCTGTTTCGCGACAGGAAGAGGGTGAAAGCGCACAGCAGAGGCGTCATATCGGTTCGATTCGCCGACCCAGTCCCGCGGAACTTTGTCGGAGAGCACGCGTTTGGCGTTGCTCACGACGAGCGGGCGGAACGGCGTCTCAGGATGATTCACACCGCGGATCTCGTCGACAAAGATCAAGCTCCTGATCCAAACCAGGTACATGCATACCTAAAAGTGATGTACACAAGCAAATCGCAGCAGTTTTCCCGATTGCTGTGTTTGGTAGACTGACAAGAAAGGCACGCGATTCATCTTCCGATTCCTTTAGTCAAGTATTGCGTCTTGAGTTTTGTTATAGCAGAGAAACGATGGTGCCGATGGCGCGCTGGCATGTACGAACCTAGCAGCAGCCACGCTGGCTCTATGTCTGGTTGAAACAGTTGTCGGCCTCAACTCAGCATACCCGTGGCTCAGGTGGTCGAAAGCAACAGTGTGTGCAAACCTTTTGAGGTAGGACTGCTGTGCGTGGCGGGACTCTCTCACACAGAAAAAAACTTGCAATCCTCCTACTGCAGGCACCTATTACTTAGCTACCCGCGGTACTTCCCGTTCGGCGGACCTTTCGCATACGGCATGTCCTAACAAGGCATGTGTCTATCGGTTGTGCTGTGTTCATGGGCATCAACACTCCATACTGCACGGGCGGTGCAATGTTGTTGTGACGGAAACCTTTAAAGCAGATGTCACACCTAAAGGCTGCTTGCGAGGATCCTACAGAGCGGACGCTGCTGCTCGTAACGGATGAGACGTGCTTGTAAGTGCCGTCTGGACTATTCGCGTACGGGCTCCCGGCTTATCTTTGTTTCGGCAGAGATTTCTTGCGCGGAAACTGGCTGTTGTGGGGCGGTAGTCCCGGGACAGTGCAATCAATATCCTTCGCCAAGTATTTTGGTGGAATGGAACAAGAGGTCTACAGCAACCCTCGCACTTGGCCTCGCATCCGACGAGTTACTGACGCTCTATTAATAGTCTACGTCCGTACTCGACGCCAACCGCATTTTTTTTTTGTTCTTGGAAGCCGACGGGCAAAATGGAACTACATGTTGGGTGTCATGCCAGGTTCCAGCTCCCCCGGCTCTCTCTCCACAAGACCTATACGTTCCTGATATAACGGTTGCATTTTCTTGTACAAGGTCGATGCTTATGGGTCCATCTTGAAAGCGCTTGAACGGCGGTGCCTCTGCTATAGAAGCGGCTGTTGGGCGGGACCTCTCACATCGTTGAAGTCCATATGGAGGTAGACGTTTTTGGTGCCATGATTGTGGCGGATATCGGCATTTTAAGGCATTTTGTGGAGAGGGCTTCACGTCAAGCATCGGTCGAAGGCGGCACCTCCGTTCGCGGACGTCACAGTTCAGGAAGCGGCAGCCTCAACGTCATGCCATGTACTTGTTTTCGTGTGGACCAACGGAACGGAGCTTCTATTAATAGCTGACTTTTTGAATGTTTCTTCCCCGGTTGTCGTTTTCTGTCTTCCCCTCCTCTCAGGAACCTCTATCTCCCCACCAAGCTCCCGGGCGCGTGCTGGTCAAACGTTGCCCGCAACTACCCCTACAACAGACCGAGGTGTGCTCGCATCGCATCTTTTTTGTCATCGGCGTGCATTGTTTCACCAAAAGCGTCGTGCCGCGTAGACGGTCCGTGCACCATCTTTCGCGGGTCCCCGGCGCGTTGGCATCTCACGACAGATCGCTTTTTCCTGTCTTGTAGGGAGGTGGCCAACCGTAACCCCCCATTACACTCGCTTTTCGTCCAAGTGTTTTTTGTTTGTTTCCTTCTGTGTGTGTGTGTGTGTGTTTTTTCGGTTCATGGCCTTGGTTCTAACTGAAGAGCTCCAACCTGAGGTCACAAACAACAATTCCTCTGCGTGGTGCATGTCGCATGCGCCCCCATCGCGTGCGTATGCATGCCCTTGTGATAACTCTCGCGTGGAGAAAAGTGGCTCCGTGAAGAACAGCACCTCTTTGGGGCGCACGACGACGGAAATATGCAGAGGTTGTCCCCGAAACGAAGAACTAGTCAATGAATTACAAAGCCTGGTCTAGTCTATCTAGGACTGCTATCCTTGACTGTTCAAGTTCAAGTTCGTGCGCCGGTCTCATGAGCTTCGACGTGTGCCAAGGGTGAACGCGCTTGCGACTTGGTGGCGCTCCTGTTTGCAATGTTGCATCGCTCTGTACAGCCGTGGGCCCTCCTCGTGTCATGTCGATTCACCCGCTCTTTTCAGCCGTCCTATTTATTCAATTTAGATATGGAACGACTTGATTAATATTCGTGTACGCACAGCGTTCGACGGCCATGCATAACCCGCCCTGCAGAGGGACCCACGACTGTATCGGCATGAGTACCGCGCTGAACGTTGTTTGAGGTTTCTCGCGTCCGGTCCAGCAAGAGTTTGAATCGATTGAATTCTGCTGCAAGCTCGTGAACATTTTTCGTCGTCTAAGGTATACCGTGCCGGCATACGATTGCCCGATTCCACCCCTAGACCCTGCAGCAAGAAAAATCCTCAGGCTACGCATAGCGCGCTCCGAACCCACCCCCTTCTTCTTGTTTGGAGTTATTCCCATTCGTGAACGCTATTTGCCGCACAGAGCTTTGTCGAACCCTCCTCCAGTGTCGGAACGCTGATCGTGTTTTTTTTCGAAACCATGTGCTTGCCCTGCGCTGCAGCGCCGAACAAGAGCAGAGAGACGCGTACATTCCGCTGGGTCCCCGGGATAACTTCGCCTTCGTATCGGACTCCGAGAGATCGCCTGCGTCCACCAGGCCTGTTTTGCTCAATTTCGTGGTAAGCAAGCACTGGGTTCGTTCCGAACGTTCTTCCCGAGTGAAGGACCGGAACCTGGAACGGTTCTCTGATTCTTCATTTGCTTCTTGAATGTTTCTTTTTCCAGGTCTGTGTCGAGGAGTGTCACGTTGGAGCCAGCCGCCCTTCCTCGGCGTTTTCGCTAGATCAAGCCTCACCACGCCCCGAAACACCAGCTCCATTTTTGTACGTAGGATCTACGTCGTATACACCGCTGTGTTCCTTCCGCCCGCGTCCACGGCCCGGCATGTCTACGACGGGCCGTGCTTTCCTCTGCCCTCCGAGATACCATCACAGACCGCATGTCCCTTTGTCGAGAAAGGTCCTAGCGCAAGAACGCTCGATTTCTTGCTTGGTGGATTTGTGTTTTTTCTTTTGTCAGGTTTTCGCCTGTATGTTTCTCGTGTCGAAAAACAAGCTTTCCCGTGCGGCGTCGCCGCCGGCAGGTAGACCCCGAAACCTCCAGCCGCCGGGCACGTTTGGCGGAGGTCGTTTCCGACTACCAGGCTCTGCATGCGGACCTCGAAATCTACGCAAGCACCGCGCCAGACCTGAACGCTTCGCAGTGGAGAGACCTGCTGCTGCGGTCGAGGTTCACCGTTTCTCCTGGGGGGCACAACCCAGAAACTTTCCGAACCTTCGAGGCGCTGGAGGGGGGGTGAGGGGGTTGCTGTGGCGTCCGTCTTGTCGACCCCAATATCGCCCTCAAACGTGCTGCCCGAACGAGTAGGAGAGCCTTCGGTAGGAGTGCCTGCCTTCCTGTAGGCCTGCCAATTACCATATGTGTTCAACGGTCGGTTGATTGGCACACACAAACCGGACAACTAAATATCTAACTGAAAATTCGGACCGTGAAAGAAACGGAAGGTACGTTTTTTTTTGGCGATTCCTTTCGAAGCTCTTTGCGTGTGTGGGGAAGGCAGTCTACTGAGAAGTTCGGACATCTGTGTGGGGTATTCAGACGTGTGCTGGCGTCTATTGTAGTTCTGCAGTGCCGATGTATGACACATATACAGTATTCATGGTTTCGAATGAAACGCTCTGGCCTACGTAAGAAGCAACGACCCCCTTTTGCGCAAACTGTATATAGCGGGCAATAGAGGTTGGAGATTTTAGGTCAGTTATGGGTTCGTTTTGTGTGTATGGCTGTTTTTCATGTTGTAATATGAACACATACAGGACCAAGCTTTCTCTGCATGATTGTATTGTTTCCAGGTCATTTCAGTCGTCCGCTCCATTTCCGATTTACAGCTGTTGAAGCTCGAGCATTTGGTGTTGCTGCGTCTCCTCCGTGCCTCATGTGTGTCAGGTCGATTCCGATCATCTCGAAGAGCGACTACACGGACCCGGCTTTCCACAAAGAAATAAGAGTGGAGGCCTGCGGGACCGGGGATGCCGCCTGGAACACCGTCGCCGCGTCGCCCTTCGCCCGAGCAGTGTCCGTCGACACCTGGGAAGATCTGCCCGAGCTGTTGGACCGCCTGCATGCAGAGCCAGATAGTTTCCTTGACCGCCTTCAGGTGAAATCTTACCCTCGGATACGGTCTTCCTACAGCGCAGTGTTCCATCAACAGCAAACCCGGTGCCGTGCTGTATCGTTTGCGTTTCGCGATCGACCACCAGCGATAGCAGTAGAAGTATGAAGTGTCCTCCGCGACGTAGGCTAGGTTGGCCTTGCACTCCCCCGAGGTGTAGGTATAACCCCCGCGCGTAGCAGAGCTAATTGTCAAGCACGTTGCGGTTGGTCTTCTGCGACCTTTACCCCCCCCGCGATTGATCACGTGTCGACCGTTTCGGTCTGGGGCGAACAGGCTGATTGCGGTGCGTGGTACGACGCGCTCATGAACAGGACGTACGCGAGCTTGCTCGACTTTGGCGACGGGTTAGATCTGTGGCCCCAGGCAGGACCCATCCTCGCCGACTACCGCAAGACCCCCGGGCCCGGTGGACTGCCTTGAGAAACTCGTCTTGCTCCTACCTAGCCCCGGCCGGAAGCTTGTTGCGGAGGAAATTCTGGCCAGCTGCAGCGTGGGGGGTCGAGGCAACGCGGCGGCCCCGTCAGACGTACCAAGCGGGTTGTCTATACCAAGATCTCTGAATTTTGCGACTTCAAGCGGTCCACAAAAACTGTCATCGTTGGTGATATTGATCGAAGATCAACATCGGCCGGCGCCCATCGTGACCTAGTTGGTGACGGCGCGTTATCAAGCCTGCAGGTGGTCGCGTGGGGGCACTTCCGATTGGTCAAGGAAAAAGGGGAAGAAGTGTGGAAACCTGCGGGAGGCCCCATTGCTGGGGAGGTAATTCGAACATCAATGCTATACCAAACTCCTAGGCCCTTACCGCGGTGGTGATGCTAGACACCGACCGCAGACGGCAGGCGAGGAGTGAATGTGGATTATGTGAGCGGTATGGTTGACGACAGTGATGCTATGGAGTGGTCGCCCGCTTCCTTCATTATCGACAAGGGGTCGATGATACAGGCCACGGAGAGGGTGGTGATGGTGCTCCGTGTGGGGAACCTGGCACAAAGAACGAAAAGGCCGTAGAAGTGTCGTTCAGAGGTGGAATGAATAGCCCTCGGGGCAACAACCAGTGGGGGATATGTTGAAACCGAGAGGCTTGCGAGAAGTACGAGGTGTGTGACATCGCGAGAATATCGCCATTCGTCCCGTTCATTCTTCGGGGGTGAGCTGTAGGCAAGCCTGTCGGAAGTTTGGATCGTCGAAAAATTGTTTCGATAGCCGTACTTTTTCAACATCACATCAGATTCGCGTGTGCTTTTCGGTTGAGTTTTTGGCATTGAAACCCCGCAATACCTGCTGGCATGCCTTCTGTAGTTTCAGCACGTGACCGTTAAGTTTAACGGGGGTGCTCGGCTGGTCAGCAAAAGCCCGGCAGATAACTACCGGCGTGGATGGTGTTTGTGGAGGTATTGTGAAATTGAGATAGAGCGTTTTTCTCGTGCCAAACGCGTGTGGTCGATGTCGCTTAGTCGCCTCGTTCGTGTCATGTTTCTTGTCCACCCGTTTCATACCTCCAAGGCAAGGAGCCGGGTTGGTTTGGTCGGTTAATCGCCTACCGATGAACGCTCTCTGGTTCCGTGGTATGTAACAATTCTGGTGTTTAGGATATTCTTCGTAGATATGACTCTGTGTGAGTCAAGACTCAGTTTCTGAGATGGAGCGGTGGTACTTGCTTTGAATTCGATGGTTTTCCTGCTGCACGTGCTTTCAACCGTTCGCCTGCATGAACTTGATGTTCTACCGTAGTTGAACTCTGTCGCGGATGATGAGGCATTCCGCGCATCCCCTTTGTACTGTTTGTACTGTATGCTGTAATCGCTTGCTGTCACGAAGTGTCTTACGCTCTTTCCTTGAATAGGTAGGAGCCGGTTGCCCCCGTATTATTCCCCAATTGTAAATTGGGGTTTCAGCCAGCGCAATAAATAGTTGATATCCTCGCAGACTTCTGTATGTAGCGGCCGGGCTCGGGGGTTCGAATCCCGACGTATGCGAGATTTTTCTTGCAAAAGGGCGTTGTTTTTGTTGTTTCCGTGTTCTTGGTAGTGGTGGTGAACGAAAAAAACAGGTTATACAAAGGAGTGACGTGCAATATGTAAATAGAGGCCAAACAACGGCTTGAAATGTGGAGAAAATAACAGCAGCAACAACGACAGTGACAACGCAGCTGTATCCCTCCCGCCGCCGTGGCCACCACCACAACAACAAGCACCACCACCAAAGAAATCATCAAAAACATCAACAACTGCCAGGGTAGGCGCACCATCGCAAATAATTCCGTCCGAAATCATCATTCATTGGTTGGCCTTGTTCGCGCAGCCAACCCCAGAGCTGATATGGAGTTGGTGGTATATCTGACGACCTAACGGAATGATAGGCAGATGTAGGAAGATTTGCACCGCATCTCGTGTTGGTCTACTGTAGTCTGAGCCGCGCGGGCTTCACTCGAGATGGCCAACGCAAGCGCACAACGGAGAGATGGCAAGGTACAGCGACAAAAGGCCATGGCTAAATTTCATCTATCTTTGTAGTCGAGCAGAAGAACAAAGTGATACTTCCATTGTATCTCACGTCGCTACGTCGTGATCATGAGAACCCGGTCGTAGTTCATTTGGCAACATCGTAGCTTCTCTGACGCTTGGTTGTGGGTTCGAAACTCCGGGTGGATGAAACGCGCCAGGGAACACGTATGTATGCACCATCCATGCGTCGGGAGACACGTTGTTCCTTGCCTATCAAGGGCAAGTCTTGCGTTTTTCCCTTTCGGCATGAAGAAGTCGGGCCTGCAACAGGTCCATTCCCCACAGCTACGTGTAAGAAAATCAATGCGATCGACCGGGGTGGTGTAGGGCAGAGTTGTGAAAATCTAGCTTGGCGACATAGAGGACGCCCGTCCGCGCTGCTACCTTAGCACCCGTCGCGTCAAGATTTCGTATCCCCTGGGTGCGAAACGTCACCAGGTAAACGTATTTCGCCTGCCCTCCACGTGCAAGAACCGGAGGTCAGAGCGCCCGCACCGTTCCATGTTCGTCAGTTCAAGAGCACAGACTGCGGACTTCGTACTTCGTACCGAGAAAGCCGGGCCAAAGTGACCTACTACAAGCAAAAATATGCTGTTGTCCGGGGTGCCAGCAGAAAACTACAGCGTTCGAACTGATCGCCATGTTTTCCACTTGTATATGCATATGCACGATGGCACTCTCCCGTGTGGACCATGTGCGTATCTCTGCCGCATCAATGGTCTACAAATAATCGCCCCGAAGGGCAACCAAATCAGAACCAAACCTCTCCTCCTTTTTCGTTATCCTCCGCCTTTCCGCGTGCAACCGACTCATTTGATCCATCCCCGCTCGATTCCGCAGAAGAAGGTCGCCACCGGAGCTATGAGCTCCACTGACGGTGAGACATAGTCTGTGGTGCGTTACCTGTTGTACTGTAGGCCGGTGTATCGCATTGCAGCAGGAGTAGGATCAACCACGAACGAACATGACCTCCAAAGTGCCCAATCTCCCACACTACTGACAGTTTTGGTAAACCGCCCATTGGACACCAATGGGTCACCCATGGGCCGCCCATGGGCACTTCATGGGCACTTCATGGGCCACCCATGGAATGCGCATGGGATGCCCATGGATCACCCATGGGCTCATGGGCATGCCCATGGGCGGCCCATGGGCGGCCCATGAAGTGCCCACCGTGGGCACAATCTAGAACTTCGCCACCGGCATATCAACCTAGAACACTGGTTCGGTTGAAGGGCTCTCATTGGTCGCCCATGGACTTCCCATCGGTTGCTCATGGGCCACCCATGGGCTGCCCCACGGGCTACCCATGAGCAAGCCCATGGGCACCCCTATGGGCTCCCCGTGGGCATGCCCATTGTTGGATGTACTCACAGCATTGACAGATTATTGCAACCGAGGAATGTTCCTAGAAGATGGAGCGGGGGATTTTGGGGGTTCCGCAGTTGTAATAAATTGGGGGAATGGTGGTACCATCTTTGCCACATATTATTGTTTTCTGGGTATGCGTGTCAGCAACGGTGTTGGCCACGTGCCCTTGATTTATTCATCTTCCTTTTTCCCGGCTATCACGCCCTGGGCTATCACGCCCGTGCCCATACTACCTATCCACCATCTATCACGCTGCCAGGCTTTCACGCCTCTAGGCTATCACGCCATCACAACAGCTATCACAGCACCAGCGTCAACACATCAGAGCTATCACGCTCCGGAACATCATAGATGCGGCGGGTTACCACACCCGTGGGCAGTTTACTGTATTTTATCGTTGCCGGCAAACTCGCCGCGCGGTTCTTTTTATTTTTGCCGTCTACAACTGCGCCGGGCGCACCAAGCCACCCAACACGCTAGCGTAATAGATCAAGAAAGTGGCTGCTGTGTCTGCGCGAATAAGACGGCTGGAGGAGATGGACGAAGACCTCCGCGGGGACCAGGGACTAGTTCCTCTCCCCACGGGGAAGACAACGGGGGGGAAGGACGAGGTTCGTTGAACCTCCCCGATGTGGACCAGCAGGGAGGAACGAAAGCAGCCGCGGATGGAGGGGAACAAGATCCAACTATCGCCCTTGTCGACCTCCTCCGCCGGGTTGCCAACTTCGCCTCCCAGACTCCGGGACATGACGTCCGCTCAGGCACGTCTAGTTCCCAGCCCATAGAGTTGAAGCTGAGAGAGAGAGTCGAAGTACCTGAGTGGAATGATGCTTTCTTGAAGGATCGAAGTGTGACTGTCGCGTTCCGAATTTTTACGAGTTGTTTCTCAGGGTGGATGGATGCAGAGGGTCTTGAAGAGATCATGAAGAGATTCCTGTGGGTTCGTTGCACGTCGATAAGACTTGGTTGCGGCAGAGGTATGGCGATGAAAGTGTTCGAAAGGCCACGAGAGTCTGGATGTGCTTGATCACGAAAATCAACGTTCAACCTATACTAGACCAGATACTAGCTTCAGAGAGTCCACAAGCAGGGTGGAGAGTGTTTCAGTCCTACTACACTACAAACAGGACGCATGAGAGAGAAATCCTGGACGGCACTTGGAACTGCCTTAGACAGAAGCATGGAGAGACTCTGGTCGACTACTGGGGAAGGGCGAATACTGTGTGGATGCAATTACAGTCTTGTGGGGACAATCGAGAGGAGACGTTAATGTCGAGACACTTTGCACGTGGCTTGCTCCCAATGTACGACGATGTCAAAGACCGTATTCTGTTCCACCCCATGCTTTCGAGAGGTACTCTGGAAGAGACGCTGAGGCTGGTCGAGCACGAGCAGAGGATCAAACGGAGGTGTGGGGAGGGGATCGAGGACACGAGGCATGCGCCCGTCGCTGCCGGCGCAGGCCGGGACGGCGGCATGAGGAGAGCAGCTGCTGCGGGAGCGGATGGCGGACCATCTCATGAGCAGAGAGGTGCCTTCTTCTGCCAGGTTCACGGAGCGAACTCCTCCCACAACACCCCAGACTGCCATAAACTTCGCAAGGACTTCTTGTTCCACTACAACGACTTCATGGCGTTCATTCGCGAGAGGGACGGTATGCGGGGACCAGGTTTTCCTCAGGCCGGGGGGCAAGAATCGGGGCGCTTGTCGGGCGGATCATATCGAGAGCAGCTGCACCAACTCGACCAAGGGGCAAGCTGGGGTCGGGGCCGCCCGTTC